AAAAAAAAAAAATTTAGAATAAAAACTTGAAAAAAAATTTGAAATAATTTTTGACGAGCGGCGCACTGTGTTATATGCAGGAGTTGACGAAAATCTGAAGATTTTGACGAGTAGCACCATGGTATATGCAGGATATAAATGAGTGAGTTGCGACAGCCTAAGCTTCACACTTGAATCAATAGTTTCACCAGTGTCGTTTGTAATTCACTGAAACATCATTAAAAGTAGCACTCCTGTGAGTTTTATTTGGATGCTGAAGTACATATTTCGCTTACGAAAGGTATTGCAATTGCGAGTATAGCGTACAGCCATCCAAGTTATCTTTTGAAGTCCTAAAAGCCAATTTGAGCAAAGTTGAATACCATCTTCATTCAATTAGCTATTCTAAGAATATGTACGGCACCGTGTTCAGGAACCAATTGCCGCGGCAAGTTTAAAAGAGCAATTGGTCGGTTAATCTATCTTCACCTCCCTAACGACTTCTACTCTGAGCTGAATCCTACTTAGGTCTGCCACTAACTGGAATCGCCTTTAACGGACATGGTGCCAGGTACAGGCTGACGCTTTTACCAACGCTGCCAGCTTACCTTCATGGGCCGCTGTTGATGCTATTCGCTGCTGGCTGCTTTACTGATATTGACTATGGCCAGCTCCAGTCACCAAAAACTTCGAAGGATCGGTGGCCAGTACACAGCTAGTTGGACTTGACTTCTGTTCCGCCACGCTATAGCACCCCATGACCTTGTGGGGGAGTGAGATTGTGCACTGCCTTACATATCCCCTATAGACGGTAGGCAAGACACTCCTTTATTAGTATCTATCTATAACTTATAACCTTCGTACGATCGTATCCGCAACGGCAGATTAGCCCTGGTCGGCCAACATTGAACCTCGCACGAGTACTGTTGGCACTGCAATTATGGTCTGGCACTGACACTCGTATGGGGGGTCAAAAATTCTTACTTTACAAATCAGCTGTAAGTTTAGGGTATTGGAGCTATGCGTATGGGTACCTTCACGCTAGAAGACTTGGACTCCCTCGACGAGGACTGCAAATAACCCAACTAGAGCGGCTTAAAGTAAGATAGAGCCCGTTTATGCTGTTGGAAATCTATTAATGTCTCCATTGTAACACGCTTGTCTAAAGAACAGCCATATTTCGCCAGGAAAACGCATTTCATTACTTCACCTTGCTGCACTGATCTCACCGCTAAACCCAGGGCTCGTAGTGAGGTTCTATAGTGTAGTGGTTATCACTTTCGGTTTTGATCCGAACAACCCCGGTTCGAATCCGGGTAGGACCTTCTTTTTTCCCACACTCATCCCCCAACTGTCTGTCAAAGTCATAATTCTACCACTTCTTTCCCAAATTGCTTAATACCATTTTCGTCACTTGCCACATGCCACAAGGGCGTCTGTTCCTGCCGCACTCGATCGGTGAGATCATCCTCTCCTTTTTTGAGGTGCGGCTCAGAAATAAATCCCTCCCCATGGACACCCCGGGGTACTCGCTGGACGACCTGCTCACCGAGGACTTGGACCGGGTGGGCCGCCCCGCCATGCCCACGCTCCCCAAGTTCGACATGCTGCGCATCCAGGAGTTTTCCAAAGAAGTGCTGTTGGCGATCCAGAACTATATCGGCGAAGTGAACGCGGGCGATGACGCGAGCACCCAGCTCATAAACAGCATCAAAACCCTGCTTGCGCTGCGGATCCTGATGTCCAATGTCCTCAATGACCTCAACTTAGGTATCTCGCTTGCTACCGCCATCGACCGGCTCCAACCGCTCACAGATATCATCCACGAAACGGTGTGTTTGCCTGTGGACGACGACCTGGACGGCGGTGAGTTTGAAGCAGATGATGAAACTGAGCCGGTGGGGGTGGCAGAGATTGCCATTGGCGAACTGCCGTTCGTCAGCGACTTTGTGCGGCCACAAACACCTCCGAGAACTCCAAGAGCGAGAGCTAAAAATAAGTTTCTTTTACTGGTGGCGCTGGATAATGATCTGGGAATGCTTACTAGTGACTGGGACGATGTGGAAGGTTTAACTCCTGACCAAGTTCATGAGCTCACTGATTTACTGAAGGAAGACTATGCTCTGGAAAATGTGCTTAGAGCGAGAATCCAACACATTACCAAGATGGAGTTGACTCAAAGGGCAAAGAATAAGTTGGTGACTCGGTTGATGATGGGTAATTACTCCAAGTACCAGGTATTACCCGCAATTAACAATACCCCTGTCCCAAAGCCAGAAGAAGATATCCTTAAAAGTGAAGTTGACGATGACGACCAAAATAATACTCTGCTGGAGGAAGTGGAAGTGTCTCAAGAAGATTACGACCCGCTTTATCATTCCCCGGGTGTTTATGGGTGTACCCACTACATGCTGAACTGTAAGCTTGAGTGTCCTGATTGCCATCGGTGGTACGTGTGTCGGTTCTGTCACGATGCTGAGGTGGAAGATCACAAATTGGCTCGTAACAAAGTGAAACACGTGCTTTGTATGTGGTGTGGTACCCCTCAGGAGCCCGAAACTAACGAGTGTGTCGAATGTGACCAGGAATTGGCCCGCTATTTCTGTCGCAAGTGTGTGCTTTACGATAACGATCCTTCGAAAGATATCTATCACTGTGACAAATGTGGTATCTGCCGGCTTGGTCTTGGTCTCGATAAGGATTACTTCCACTGTGACACGTGTAACATCTGTCTTTCGGTGGAGCTTAGAGAAAAGCATAAATGCGTTTCAAATACCACCCACTCAAATTGTCCCATTTGTCTGGAATACTTATTTACTCTGGTAAAGAAGGTGGTGTTTATGCTGTGTGGTCATCTGATCCATCAACACTGCTATGATGATATGATCAAGCACTCATACAAGTGCCCAATTTGCAAGAAAACAGTGCTGAATTGCGATACTCAGTTCCGTATCTTGGACCAGGAGATCGCTCAGCAACCAATGCCCCCACCGTATAACCAGTGGCGGTGTATCATATCTTGTAATGACTGCAAGGGCAAGAGCAATGTTGCTTACCATGTGTTGGGGTTGAAGTGTACTTATTGCAAGAGTTTCAATACTAACCAAGTACGGCTTATCAAGCCTGAAGATGAGGATGAAGCAGAAGAGGAAGTAGAAGGGTCTACTGGTTTCGACGAAGGAGTAATCCGTCTGGTTCGCCGTAACATCGGCACTAATTTTCGCATGGGCGACGGGTTTGAGGAGGATGAAGGGTACCAGGAGGATAATGAGGGGGAGGAGGAAGTAGAAGCCGACGACAGTCGGTTCGGTACGTTGCGCACGATGTTCCAAAATTTCATTAATAACGCCACTCAGGTGGTTGACGACGACGACGCCATGGTTGGAGGTTTATAGAGGAGACACACACGTATATAGTCATAACGATCTCACGACGACATAATAATGGAGAAGATTAATCTTATATAATGCTCTAGATTGTGACCGATCCAGCCCTGTATGAGTCAACCTTCGATTGTCCTACCTTCACCAATTGAACGAAAACAGTTCTACAATTGAAACAAACAGAAGACATTCATCAGAAACGAGATATCCACTAAATTTTGATGAATCATGTTTTTTGAGTCATTCTCCGCGTGTTTCTATGATTCATTGTTCGTAAGTATACCCCCGCACTACTGGGGGAGGGCGGTGCAGCAACAGCCACTAATTGTTTATTACCAACAGCAACATGACGGGGCTTGCCGAAGTGCTCAAATGCGCCATCCCCGTGATCCAGGCGCCCATGGCGGGCATCCTGACAGTGAAGATGGCCGCTGAAGTCACCACCGCTGGTGCTCTCGGCTCGCTTCCTTTTGGCAGCCACGACCTTTCCAAGTCGATTGCGCTGATCCAGAAGACGGTAGCCGAATACAAATCGTTGATTGACGTCGAGGCCGAACAGGTGAAAGGCGACCGGTTGCGTGTCAACTTGAATTTCTTCTACCACGACATTTACAAGCCACCCACGGAAAAGCAACAGCAGACGTGGTTTGACGCCTACAGGGACTACCAGCCCAACCGCGACAAAGTATCGTTTGCCAATGGTAATGTCCTGTTTAAGGAACTCGAGGAGAACGCCCCGTTGTTGTGTGACTTCTACGAATGGCTCCAGGACGAGAAGCCGGCGATGTTGTCGTTCCACTTTGGCTGTCCTCCTAAGGAAGTGATCAGTCAGCTTCAGCGTACCAGTGTGGTGATGGTGACAGTTACGAATATTGACGAAGCCTACGAAGCCTTTGGCGTCGGCGTTGATGGTGTAGTGGTACAAGGATGGGAGGCCGGTGGCCACCGCGGTACGTTTATGAGCGAGCTGGAAAAGCGTCAGCTGACGTGGGAGTTGTTCACTCTGGTGAAACCGATTTTCAAAGACCGCTACGTCGTCCCCGCCGGTGGTATTGTTACCGTTGACGACGTCCAACGGTTTATTGATGCCGGCGCCGATATGGTGCAAATGGGCACTGCCTTTTTATTATGCCCTGAACTGAACTCTAATGCCTATATCCGGACCCAGCTTGATCGCCGGTTACCCACACAAATGGTATCGTTCATTTCGGGTAAACCAGCACGGTGTGTGGCCACTCCGTTCATTGAGAGTCTTCAAGTGAAACTGGGTCATTTGGATGTGCCTTACGGCTACATGTACCTGGCGTATAAGCTGTGGGTTGGTGACGTCAAAAACCCGGAATACGCCTTCTACTTGGCGGGGGATAAATGGAGACTCGCCGAGAACGGGGTTCCTGCCGCCGACATCGCTAAGAAATTCAGCCACATCGATGTGAAAAAGGAAACCGCTAATCTCAAACGGAGCTACAATGAAGTGGCTCAGTCTCTGGAAGACCCGCAAAACCAAAAGGATAATTAGGGAACCAGGCATCATATACAAAATAGTAAAATTTGCAGTACAGCACCCAAAATTTTATCCCCTACCAAGATTCATCAATGATATTAACATTAAGCTAGTTCGATAATACCGATCATGACATTCAAGTGGTCGCTTTACCACAATTGCCAACAGCCACAGTATTGCAACTTATTCATGGCTCAATGATAAAGACAAAATTTAAATGTGGGTTTGATTAAGCGAAACCAACTGAACTACAAGCAACCACCCACTTTATCCAGCTTCCTTCTTGGTCATATCTACCTTTTAGTACTGTCCTCTATCGGCGCTCATTCGTTGACGAGAGGGGGCGTGCGAAAAATTTATCCACCCACTCCACCATGGCCTACACCCTTGCCCTTTCCGACGACTCCAAGGAGAGAATCTACAAGTTGCTCGACTACTCGAAGACGTTGTGCCACTACGGCTTCATCCCCTTCGTGTTGTACCTCGGGTGGAAGGCGACCCCCAACAAGCCCGGCCTCATCCAATTGTTGTCGCCGTTCCCCTCGGTGTAAACAAGGCCTAAGCTTGCCCCATTGTACATAGTCACGTATTAATGAACCCTCTATAATTCAAATGTAGTCGATAATTGATAATTGAAGATATCAGCCACACCCTTAAGGTTTTATCCTCATTGCGGCACCACTGCTTTACCTCATCGATGGATGTCAACTTCGTCGCCGGGCTCACCGCCGGCGCCGCCACCACCGTGGTCAACCATCCCCTCGATGTGGTCAAGGTGAAGCTCCAGCTCCACCGCCAGCCGCTCCGCCACCTCCTCTCACTGCTTTCGTGGGCCGACTATACCCGCGGCATCGTCCCCAACCTAGTGGGCAACGTCGCCGCCTGGGGGATGTATTTTGGCGTTTACGAGTACCTTAAGCCCGTCACCAAACAGTATACGCCCCTGGATACCGCGTCGTACGTGGTGCTGCTGACTATAGCCGGGGTTTCCACCCTGGTGGTCACTAACCCGATATGGGTGATCAAAACCCGAATGCTTGGGGGTGATCGACATCGACACATGTTGGGATTAATCAAAGACATGGTGGTCAACGAAGGGGTGCTTTCTTTGTGGAAAGGGTTGGTGCCACTGCTATTTCTGGTGGGGCAAGCGCTGCTCCAGTTTACCATCTATGACCACGGGAAAAAATGGGTCCAACGACAACACCACCGCCTGCAAAACACTACCTACGAACACGTCTACTTGCTGGCCGGTTCTAAAGTGGCAGCAATGACGATTATGTACCCGGCCCAAGTGGTTAAGCTGAGACTCCAGTACCAGAAAGTGACGACGCTGATGATGCAAGTGGTAAAGCAAGTGGCCGCCGAGAGAGCATTTTATCTGGGGTTAAGTGCTAATCTTGTCCGGGTGGTGCCGGCGACCACGGTGACGTTTGTAGTGTTTGAGCTGGTGAAGAAATGGCTTGAGCCTAAGATGGAGAAGATTTAAGGGGTACGGTAGCTTATAGAGTGATAGAATAATGACGACACGATCAGCATAAACAGGTTATCGATAGGATGATGGTTATCAATGATATTCAATCAGTATAATGATGAAAAGTGCTTCACTAGGGCCTATTGCTGCCATTTTGTTGCAGGCTAATGGTACGCGTGATAACTGGCCACAAACACGTTGGGCCAGCACAAGCGAAACTCAAACCGTTTGGGTTTTTACAAACGATAGTAGCACGTGCTGGCTCCGTTGTCAGACACCTCGGAAACCATGCAGGCGAAGATCGCCACCAGCACCACACCTGCCCCATTCCCCGCCAAAATAACCACGATTCTCGAAGAATCATCAGTAATCATCAGTAATCATTTGGAATTACAATACCGACCTGGTTTACCTAGCTGTATATTTTGAGGGCTAAGGTTTGCTTCTTTTGTCCAATATTACTTAGTTTTGGTGGTGTTTTTTTGCTTAGTCTCAGTTAGCCTCAAAACTGTGCTATACTTGCTTATTAGCGACTCGTTTCATGCGTTGCCTAGCCAACCGTGCGGTGGATGGTGTAGCGTTCGGCAAGGCTGAATCGACGAGGCAACGCCCGGCACCGCATGAAGTGCCGAGGCCAAGCTTGCTCCAGCCTTGTACCACATCCCCCTATTTCGACCACAGAGCCTAACGACACTATCCAAGACTAGGCTACATTCTTTCAGTCAAATATCCTTTACCTCATCGTGACCTGTAATTCGTCGTCTCCTTCTATGTAGGTTTGGCCTATTGACAATTAGGTTCTGCTGGGTCTGCCGCATCGTTTAATCAGGCCACTGGTGCCGTAGTCTGCGACGATATGCTGATTAGGTTGGTAGCAGATCGATGCCGCCACCGAAGCATCGCCTGTCCGCCTCGGAGCGGTGATTTCGGGGTCTCCTCTCCCCTTCGGCTCCACCCGCCCGTTCCCCCCTACTGACAACACTAAAAACCCACTAAAAACCGACACTAAAAGCGGGGGGCGTTAAGCGCTACCGATCTAAACTCTGATCTTCGGATAAATCCCGGATTGAGTACCCTGAACCCCCCCCCCCCCC